TAGAAACTGAGTTTTTTAATAGATTGTTTTTAAGGAAAGGTTATAATGACAGAAACCCAGTGTCTAGCCTTTTTTCTTGCTTGCTGGCTGCTTTTTTCTTTTTTTTAACGAAGGGTGCTGCCAGCTCCTTTCCTGTGATGTTGCATTGAATGTGAGTAGGGTCTTCAGGAGGATCTGTGGTGGGAAGGATGTGTGGATCCTGTGAACCCCACTGTAGATGGAGGGGAAAATTGGCACACAGAGGAGAGCAAGCTGTGAGAAGGAGGATTTTGTTAGGTTGTGGACTTTGTTTTGGTTTAGTTATGTGCTGATGAATGTTAATTATGTGAGATGATTTTCATACCAGCTAATGGACTGGGCTCTCTGATTTGGCAAAGAGCAATATTTCTTTTTTTTTTTTTTGGATGGCTGCATGTCAAATTGATTTATTTTGGATTACAAACTCTGGTTTCCATGGGGATCATCCTTCTGCTTTTTAAAGGTACTATTAAGAGTCTCTTACCTTTTATGAATTACGCCTAAGAGCTATTACTGCAAAACTGTTTCAGCTGTTGATGGCTAAATCAACACTTTGTATCTGGCATGAAATCTGAAGAGGGTAGAGTCTGGGATAAAAAGTAGTTTTCTGCTCTTTTGAATCAAATAGCACACACCCTAATAACGTTTAATACTCCAAGCACATGACTCCGTGTACATACGGTGAACTTAAAACACCATGAAGGCTGGGTGTTGTCTGGGCAGCACAGTGTGTCAGACTATTCCTCAATCTGTTTTCTCAGCGTACTTATGTGAAGTTGTGTATATTACACGGCTGCCTAGTTGTGGTGTTTCTCAGTTAAAAAACGAAGGGGATAACTAGAAACAATCATCCTTTCAATCTGAATATGGTATAATTGGCACATGGAGGTTTTCATGAAATTATTAATATTTATGATACAAGAGAATAAAATGACTTTGTCGGGTTCTATACGTACGTTAGTTTCTAAAATGAAAAGAGCTGCTTCTCATGCAGTGGTTGCTGTTAGTTATTTCCTGTTCTTCTTTACCTGGAGATATTGTCAAAGGCACACAGAAGCTGTATGCTTCCCTCCTCCTCGTTCAGCCTGCGTACTGCTAAGGTTGTTAGCCATCCAGACGTAGTAGGAGTTCAATGTAGATGTAGCCCAAAAAGCTATAAAGACCTAAGATACTTCTTTGGGAATGAAAAAAACACTTTTTATCTTCTTTCTTTGCAACCAATATGGGATATGCTTTCTCACACATGATGGTTTATAAATGCTCCTCATGTCCCATTTGGCATTGACTTGCAAGTAAACAGCAACATACTAAATTTTCCAATTGCTTATTCACCCAGACATTCCCTCCCAGCTGACGAATATAATCCCATGTATTCTTGAGTTTAGAATCCAAGATTATGTAGCCCTGAGCAAGTTTTTCAACAGAAACACCTCAGAAAAGAGCCCCCAAAAAGAAATGGCAGTTTTGTCCACTGTGTGAACTGCTTAATGTAGTCGTAGCCCACGGAGGGTATCATTAGATTGGTGACTTTCATGGGTTCAGCAGTGAATGACTTGTCCAGAAAGAACAGAGTGGCTCTACATAATGGGAAAAGATTCCAAGTGCAATTGCTGTAATACTTGTTGAATTACCTTGTTGCCTGGAAGGCTGTTATCCTTTTCCACGGGAAGGAGTGCCTTCTCAAAGGTGAGGAGGAACAAAATGGAGTGTGCTTTGTTCTTAAGCTTCTTAATATTTGATTCTATACGAAGTTTCTGGTGTAATTTTTTCTCTTGAGTAGGTGGCTTTGAAAATGCATGATGGGAAACACTTTATTTGAAAGCCGTAGCAGAAAAGGCTGTCAGTCTACACAGAAACTGATGTGGTTCATCAGGTCAGAGTGGTTTATAAATTTGCAAATTACTGATAGCTGCAAGGGAGGAGGAAGTTGTTTCCTTGAGGGATGTTCACTCATTAATTTCCATCGTCCCCAGAGAGCACTGCTTATCCTTTTTTTTTCCCTTTTCAAGCTGTTTCTTTCTGTCTGAAGAGCCCTTCCTCATCTTGGATGCACTATATCTTATGCTTTATTTTTTCGTTTCCATCTAGGATAAGTGAGTACCAGAGCCAATTTCATTGATTTGTGGCTCTGTGATGTATAAGTGGCTATGACATAATTTGTCAAAGTAGTTCAACAGTTGAAAAACTAGAATCTTTAATCAAGCTTCTCTCTACGATCCTGAAGTGTGTCTTGGGTTTTCTTTAGCAACTTCTAAAGAATTATTTAAAAGCCCTCTGTTTTTTTTTTTCCCTTCCACTTTGCATTTATTCCTAATGAAGGTGAAACTTGCTTTGGAAATAAGGTTATAAAATCAATACAGGTCAATTGATGGAAGATGCTAACCTAAAAAAAAAGAAAAAAAAGAAAAAAAAAAAAAAAAAAGAGAAAACAGTACCTTCCCTACTGCATTGTAATAATATATTATTACTCTGTGAGAAGTATTTCTTGAATAACTGGAGAGTTAGAGATACTTGTTGAAAGCCAGGGATTTGACTGACTTAATATCTCATAGCAACTTAGGAAGCATTAAGTAAATGGGTTGAATACTGCCTCTTGAATCTATTGTAGCATCTGCCAAAACCAGATGAGAATTTCATTCTTCAAAATACATCAGGTGATAAATACATAACTCAATATTTTGTCAGATATCAAAAAGGAATTTGCAGAAGATGAATGACACAGTATGTGGAAAATAAAATTGCAAATGACATTTAAATACTGCAGATTTAAATAGCATGTCTGTGAGGTAGAGTTCAGTGCTAATTCTGTGCGCTTTTATTGAAATGGTACCACTTTACCAAGAAGCTAAATTTGTCTGTTATTTCTTGGTACTTGTTTTTGTTTGTCTCTTTTTGATATGCATGTTGACCACATGACCATTATGTTATTGTTGGCATTTTTGTTCTGTGGGCAACCACGGGAAAGCTGTACTCTGCAAATAAAATCTTCATTCTTATTTGTTTTTAGTTGATTAAAGAGAAAAATCAAGCCAAAGAATGGTATTGCCATTGTTTGTGGGAGGCTGCAGCTACTTTTTCATGTCTCAGTTAATAGCGTAAGATGTTTTCTCTCAGGGTGTATATTGCTTACCCAATTGAAACACTAGCGAATCTGTCCTTCTCATTAATCAATTATGTTTCAACTCAGAGGAGCTTCCATTGTCAATAATATACATTGTTAACAACAAGCAGCTGTTGATACAGCCTGCAGTGAGAATGGCTTTTCTTGCCAGTAGGAAGCTCAACTCTAGGTGTTGTCCAGCTGCAGTAGTGTAAAAGGGGCTGTCCTATCAAATAGTATTTTTGTGCTGGTGCATTTGTTTTGTTGCTTTTATGATGTTTGTGTGAGAAATGTTTAGCTGTAACATTAGGCAGCTTTCAGTTTCAACTGAACAACTTGCTTAGAAATACATAACCTTACATGTAACTTCAAAAATAAGTGCTTCTAACTTACGGTGGTTGCCTTGCACGTTCTTCTACCATGTTCCACTTTCAGCACTTTTAGTGCTGAAAATCTGTGTTTCCTGCTGCTGAGTCTTTAGAGACTCTGTCTGAAGACAGCACTAAAAAATTTACTTTGTAAGTGCTGACGCGTGAGACTAAACCATGTTTGTGCAGTGTGGGTGGAGAGCTGCAGCCAGGTTATCTGTGTGCCTGCTCAGCTGCACTGGCAGAGACTATTCTGCTCGGGTACTGCAGCTGCAGTGCACCACGTGCCTGGGAAGGGGGGGGGGGGGGGGGGGGGGCAGTGCCGGGAGGATGAGGGCAGAAGCTGCTGTGTGCTGCTTGCTGCCTTCTCTCTTCTTAATGTCCCTACCAGTGTCTGCACAGATGAGGGTGAGGGATGTCTCCCATGAGCAGAAGCAGAAAAGGTACCCTGCTTGCAGTGTGCAGTGCAGCACTGTGTGTGTTGTCTTGGGGAGCTGAGCTCACTGAAGACAAGTTCCTGATTTCTGGTGCCAGCTACCCCTGGCTCTGGGACTCCTTTTATATGCTTAAAGCTCATTTGGTCCACAGGACCATATAGTGTGCATTTGGAGTGTGGAAAACTGGTTTCTCAGTTGTGCTATGTCTCCTTGAGATCCAGATAGACTAAGATACAATGATATGAGAATAAGTATTTTAGCTAATGCTGGTTTCTCTCCATCCTTCATTTCCTAGTTGAAAGAAATATGTAGGGCTGGATTATCCAAGAGAGCAGATTGCATTCTCTGGGTTCTTTAGTGAAGTTGTGTGTAGCCTTTTTTTTAATTTATTTTCCTATTTGTTTAGTGGTGCATTGTAATGTACATACAGGAATCTCTTGAAAAAAAAAAAATAATCATATTTCTTTTGGATGTGACTTCCCAGAGGTCTGTGTGTGCCACTACATTGGCCAGTGGAAGGAAAATGAAATTGCTGTGATCTACTTCCACACAGACACACAGATTAATACCATGTCTTTATATTTGTTTACTTAGAGTCTATTGTCTTTAAAAAAAAAAAAAAGAAAAAAAAAAAGGCAGTAATTATTAAAATGAACACTCAGCAGATATCTGTATTTGGATACTCAGAATGTCTTATTTCATGCATGAGTCAACATAAACGTTTGAAAACATGTTTTGGATATGCTTCCTACGCAGTTAATGAATTAGAGACTTTTGGAGTTAATTACTGAAGGCAGCTGAGGTGCGATTGCTTCCAGTTACCTCGCGTACAGAGATGCTAGCAGTTGTTCAGACTTGTTAGTCTGAGCAGTGTGTTGGCCTAACTCCTAGTAAACTCCAAACAAGTGCATTTTATTTGCACTATGTGAGAACATCCAAGTCTATTAAAATTACTATGTGTTTTTTTTTTTTTTATGGGGGGGGGGGGGAGGGGAGAGGGAGGAGGAGGAGGGATGGATTTCTTTTTCATTTGGCTGAGTTTGTTTGCTTTGTTATTGTTCCTGTCTCTGCCCACAGGTAACGTCATGGTGCTGTGGTCAACTTGCAGAACATCAGTACTTAAATCCGTAACAAACCGATTCATTAAGAATTTGGCCTGCTCGGGTATTTGTGCCAGCCTAGTCTGCGTGCCTTTTGACATTGTTCTTAGTGCCAGTCCACACTGCTGCTGGTGGATCTACACGATGCTCTTCTGCAAAATTGCCAAGTTTCTGCACAAAGTCTTCTGCTCAGTGACCATCCTTAGTTTTCCAGCCATTGCTCTTGACAGGTAAGAGGTTAAATTCTCCAGGATGATAATCCTTGATAAGCTTTGTTTTTCAGCCCTATAAAGTACTTTGAGACTAAAAATTTATCTTCAAAGGAGTTTTTAACCCTTCTTTTTTTCCTGTTAATATTTCTTGGTCAGTAACGGAAATTGAAGCCAGACAACTTCAGACTATAGGAAAAGTGCACATTTTTAACTGTGAGAGTTGAAAGCCATTGCATCTTAAAAGAATTTAGCAATGCCTGTGGTAGGTTGTCCAATTTCAAATTTAAAACCTATTTTTTAAAAAAAATTACTTTTTAAAAAAGCTACTATTAATACAACCAGAATTAATTCAGGGAAATTTTGTATGTGGATCAGTCTGAAACAGAAGTGGACATTTGGACTGCCTAAGTCTTAGAGTTGTATTTGTTTTGCTTATTGTTGCTAGCTGTCATTGATTCCACCTAAATGCACAGCTCTGTCATCCTGAGAGTGGCTGTAAGGTATTATTAAGGAAGGGTGGACACTGTTGTGATGAAGCTTATACTACTAAAACAGTGGGATTTACATACAATTAGATAAAATTACTGTTAGTCTGCTAATGTGTCACTGCAAAGTGTTAGCTATATAAAGCAAACTTTATAGCTAGTAACGCTAATGTTAATAACTTGATAAGTACAGTATATTCTCTGTAATGTACATTTGTGTTATGTGCAATATGTCGTTTTTCTTAATAATATTCATACATCAACATAAAACATTCTTTTTTTTTTTTTTTTTACCATTTTTGTAATCTTGAAATATAAATATTCAGTCTTTTTCTACAGACCTATCCACAAAGCCAAGACCCTTGTGCTTTTCTTTTATGATGAGGTCATCAGTTGGAAGCTCAGTGAGAGATGTAGGGCATTTTGCTCAGACAGCTTGTGAGAGACTTCTTAAAAGCACACGCTCTAAAATTGACTGTTTGTTTTTTTCTTTTTTTCCCCCCCAACAGATACTACTCTGTTTTATACCCTCTGGAAAGAAAAATAACTGATGCAAAATCCCGAGACCTGGTTATCTACATCTGGGCCCATGCAATAGTGGCCAGCATTCCAGTATTTGCTGTGACCAATGTGTCTGATATTTATGCCATGTCCACCTGCTCTGAATCCTGGAGTTACTCCCTTGGCCACTTGATCTACGTTGTCATCTATAACATCACCACTGTGATTGTACCGGTGGCTGTGGTATTTCTCTTCATGATTCTTATTCGCAGGGCACTGAGTGCCAGCCAGAAGAAAAAAGTCATCATAGCTGCCTTAAGGACCCCTCAGAATACAATTTCAATCCCTTACGCCTCCCAGCGAGAAGCTGAGCTTCATGCCATGCTGCTTTCTATGGTTGTGATATTTATTTTCTGCAGCATCCCCTATGTGACTCTGGTGATTTACCGTACCATACTCAATGTTTCAGATATTTCAGTCTTTCTGCTTCTCACTGCCATTTGGTTGCCCAAGGTCTCTTTGTTAGCCAATCCTTTGTTATTTTTAACTGTTAACAAATCTGTACGAAAGTGCTTAGTGGGGATGATAGTACAGCTGCACCAAAGGTACAGCAGGAGAAACATTGTCAGCTCAGGTGGTGTTGCAGATGCTAATCTGGAGCCCAGTGCCCGTTCAGGGAGCCAGCTTCTGGAGATGTTTCATATTGGGCAGCAACAAATCTTCAAGCCAACAGAAGACGAGGAGAATGAAACCAAATCTGTTGGCTCTAGTGACTTTCAGCAGAAAGAAATTCCTGTCACCAGTTCAAAAGTAGGACAGACTTCGATTCACAGATTTATACCACAGACAGTTGCAGACTCTGCAGCTCAGGTGGCACCAGCTGTGCCTGCAGAAACTGATATGGGAAATGACAAGTATTCCATGCATTTTGGTTTTGGACCCTTTGAGCTGCCTCCTCAGTGGCTGTCAGAAACTCGGAATAGTAAGAAGCGACTCCTGCCTCCTTTGGGGAATACCCCTGAAGAGCTAATCCAGACAAAGCAGCCAAAGTGTAAAGCAGAAAGAAAAATCAGCAGAAATAATAAAGTCAGTATCTTTCCCAAGGTGGATTCTTAGGAGGAATAGGAGCTTTAAGTGACCGACAAAGGTCACCTAAACTTATATATGTGATCCCATGGATCTTTGCTGTGCTGAAATCTGTTACAGGCTGATTTTGTGTGTGTGTGTGTGTGTGTGTGCCAAGTGTAATTAAACAAACAAAAGGGAAACATGCATACAGGTGTTCTTTATTCATATGGTTTCGTGAAAGTAATATATTGAAAGATCACGATTTTTGTTTTTATTTGTGAAATACCTTTGATAATACATTCCTGATGAGCTTTCAGAAAGTACATGTGGCTTTGGGAACAGTTTTCTTATGGCTGAAGTATGGAAATATGGCAGTCAGTTTGCTGGGAACCTTCTTATATTAAGATGGACTGGATATTGAAGAAGCTTAATAGGAAAGGCTATAGGGAGCACGAGAGGATACAAGATGGATAAGACCTAACCTCACGTTAGCAGACCCAGCAAGCTTCTTCTGCATGTTTCATTAAAGAAGTGAGGAGGACTATGAAGTATATCTATTAAGCCAATTTCTGAAATCAGTGTTAAAAGTAAAACTTACTGGACTCTTACACAGGTTATTTAGCAAGTATCTGCTAAACTACACCTTTTTAAAACTTAAACCAATATTTTTTGTGTTTAAAATTTCAGCGAAGCCAAGGATACCAAAATTGTCTTGTGTGTCACAAACCCGAGGATGACGGATTCAGAAATAGCATTTCTTTTTTAAAAATCGTTCTTGTAGTTCTAAGTAGAAACTGTACTGGAGAAGCCTGACCCTAATAAACAAGAATGTACATGCCAAGGGCATAAATGTAACGTTTGATCTTATGATAAAGGATATATATAAATGTCCCAACAGGATTCTGTAAGTATTGTGTACATAAGCAAAGGTTCACTCCTTAAAATTCACTCCTATCTACTGGTTCACTGAGCTTTGGTTTTTTGTTTTGTGGGAAAGGTAGCAAATGGAAGAAAACAGTTGGAGTTGCTTACAGACTTGTACTGAATTGTTGAGTGTGGAAGCTGATTATGGACCCCAAAAGGCAAGGTTTGCTAATGCTGTGGCTCAGTATTGTTAGTGGGGTTTTCGTTTCACCTTCACCAACATAAATACCAGCTATCATATTCCACTTGTCTCACAGATTCAATCAACCCGTGTATGAGACTTCTGAATCTGGTGCCTAATTTCTGATCAAGTCAGAGTCGGCCATCCCTGGTCTCAGCGTACCAGCTGTCCTTTGAGAGCTCTCTGTTTGTATCCTTCTGCAGCTCATCCTCCCAAACTTGTCATTTCCTCAGTACTGTGTGAATTTCAAATGTACCTGTCTATTAAATGACCAGGAAACTATTGTCACCCCAGCTGTAATCCTTTGGTCAGTTGCAAGTTAGTTGTTCCTTCTTTTTTTATTTGCATTCACTGTTGACTCTGGGTGAGAAAAACTGGAAAACACAAGTGACACCCAGCACTCCTCGTGATTCTCCTGTAGTGTAGCCCTTTGGTGTATGCTGGATCTTTACATGTTATTATTGCCTGTTGTGAAAGTATTTTTCTTTAAAGAATGCTTTTTGAAGGGACAAGGTGAATTGTCTTGCTGAGTTCACAGTAACTTGCCAAATCCAATTGATTACTTTTAGAAGTGTGGGAAAAATTGTGCTGAGGCAGAATTTGTAGATGTGCGTATTCTTCCTTTGAGGAGTAGGAGCAAGTCAGCTGCTTCTGCTAGCTTTGATGTGATGGATTTCTATAAGACACTCAAAGCAAATGCTTCAATTAAAAAAAAAAAAAGAAAGAAAGAAAAGAAAAGAGAAAAAAAGAAAAATTCTCAGTTACTGTGAAAATGGTTTTCAGTGTTTGTTCAAGAACTTCCCAGTGTGGAAGAGCAGTCTTCAGTGGTGCAGATGGATGGTGGGAACCCAAGCTGCCATGCTAAGCAGATGATGACTGGACTGAGATCAGGCAGAAGAAATAATGCAGGAAAAGCTGTTCCTTCTGTGACAGGGGTAGTAAAGGATCATAGCATACAGGTTTTTTTAAGTACTGATTAAAAAAAAAAAAGTATTTCTGAATTTAATTAATAAAGAGTTCATTAAAGACATCCCCCAAACATTAAAAGCAAGGTAGAAGACAGTGTCCTTATGAGTTTAGAATAAATTCGGTATTTACGGCCTGCTTATGCATAAGCGCTGATCAGAGTCTCTCTGATTGATGAATGTGGGTAAATGGTTACTTGGATTGAAACTTCCTCTGAGGAAAACAAACTCAGTATTGTCCCTTCCAACTCTTATGTTGAATGAAATGCTGATGGTAAATTTGAAAAGCCAAACTGAATAGAATTTACTTCTATATCTGGAAAGTGAGATATTTGTGTTGATTTTGGACTTCTGAGACAAAATTTCTTTCAAACAGGACAGATATGAAAAACTGTATGCAGGACTTTTTGTTTCTGTTTTTTTGTTTGTTTCTTTTTTAAGCAGAAATTAACTAAGGTGGGGTTTTTTTATTATTATTCCTGAGAAATTATTTTGGAATATAACAGGTAATATGATTTTATTTTGGTCGGTTTATCTGTATGAGTTTTTAGGAGAAATGGGAAAAATACATAGAAGCCCATCTTTGCATAGAACAAAAAATATCTGTGAAATTCATAATGCATCTTCTGTAGAGATCTGTAATCAGAAAAGTAATTCAGGAGATGCCTTATGCAAGACAGAATATTTGTCTTGTACAGTTTGATTTCCTTGAAGGCAGTAGTACCTTTGAGACTCTGCTGCTGTTGGCTTGTTGTTCCAACAATTTCTACCAGACAAAATGTTCTTTGGTATTCAGTAGGAAAAAAAAACACCAAGACTTGTTTTATTCTTTATTATTGTACTAAAGAATAGCAGTTGTTGTTGTAACGGTTGTTTTTAAGATACATTCTTCTCTCCTGATTACTGGTGAAAGAAAGTAAAGTGCCAAATGAAGCTGTGGGGGCAGAAGAAAGGAAAGCCTGGGGTGATTTGTGTGAAAATGGATTCAAAGGATAAATCTTAATTCTGGAGAATAAACTTGAAGGAAAGATGGAAATCACTTTTCCGCCATTTAGAGATGAAAAATGGAAAACAGAGCTCATATTAAACGGAGGAATCTTTTAGAAGGAGAAAAAGACTTAAGGGAAACATGTCAATGTACTGTTTTGAAAATATTGTTAAATTCAAATAAACTTGGTGTAAAAATTGAAAAAACAGTCTTTCAGCACCAAATAATGCTATGTTGGTTGGCTACTTTGCAACACTGTATTTTGCACAATGGGATAAATGTGCAGAGAAAAGCAGTTTTCTAAAAGCTCCCCAAGTGTTCCAGACTGTAGCTACCAACAGATCTAATTGTTATGAAACTGTGGTAATTTAATGAATGCATTTGTTCTGTTTTTAAGGGTACTTCAAAATGTATCTATCGATAAGGTTTTGCAGAAAAATCTGTTTGGATTTCTCTAGTCTAATTCTGCTTTCTGTTTCCTGGGAAAAGATTCCCGTATGAGTGATCTGTACAGCAAAGAGTGGACAGAAAGGTAAGAGAGCTCGCAGCTCAGGAGTGCTGAGAATCACAGCGGGTCCCATGGCTGCTGTGAAGGTAACCAACCAACCAACCTGCTCTGGAGGCAACTGCATGTCCCACAGAACCCAGCCGAAATTCCTGCCTTCTGACCTTGCACTGGAGGATTGGGTAACAGGTGTCAACTTTAGAAAAGCGAAATCCCTGCCATCTCATCTTACTTGAGTTATTGTGTAGGCATACTTTAAGCTGTGGAGGATTTGATATAATTAATGAGGTGGTTTTGTTTGTTTTTGTTTTTCTCTTCTGGACATAGGAGGTTACCTTCACCCCCCTACTCCTCCCAGAAAAAAAAAGCGTGGGTGAAGTCATTGCATTTAAACACTTTAGAACACTTCTATCTCTTCTAAAACCACTTCTTATTTTATTTGCAGTGACATTCTTTGTGTCGAAGTAGAGCTATTAGCAGGATTTCTAAATGAGTTATAACAAGGTCCTTAATTATCAAATGGCAAGCATAAAATGAGTGCAGTCTTCAATAATTCATAATTCAAGGACAGTTCAGGAATACAAGACAAAGCACATCTTGTGGGAAGCTGCAGGACTCCAGGTGCAGGTGCTGATTTCTCTGCAGCCGTGGAAGGCCACAGAGTGAGATCAGCAGGAAGCAGCCAGAAGTTTCCTGTGTGCTATGTCTGCTTTTAAGCAGCTAAGCCAATCAAAGGGAGCAAAGAGTGCTCAGAGACCTATTCTTGTTTGCTTTCTTTAGGAACAACAAAGAGTGGGATGCAGAAGCATTTTCCAGCTCCAATGAAAGCTTGCCTGTGTGTACATAGGAGCAGCTCTCTTGTTCCTTAAGTGGACTTTCTTTAAAGAAAGCAGAACAAACATGAAGTCAGATCCAATTCCTAAGTATATGCTTGCTAAGGCGAGGGTTTCTCAGCATAGCTGTAATGTGACATCACTATAACTAAAGATAATGCACCAAGATGGTGACTTATTTGAAAAATTCCATTGTGCTTATAAGCAGGGTTTTTTTTTTTTCCCGTACCTCCATTTTCTGTGCAACCAAGACCTGTAAGTTTTGCCTGGATCACATTCCCTGCTCAGGGACTTGGAGGATCTCCTTGCTCCAGGCCCCTTGCACCAATGCGGTGCAGTGCAAACTGCTCTGGACTTCTGCTTCTATACTCTGCTGGTTTCCAGAGAAAGGTGCGGCAGAACAGAAGACAGGACCTTTCCTAATGCAAATCAAAGAATGAAAATCTGGATTTATTAGGCACCACATGAGTTTTACCAGTGGTTCTGGATTCAGCATTCCTGTTCAGCCTTTCTTGCTCATCTGGCAAGGTACTATTATAGTGCTCCTACTGGTGGGGTATACTGGTGAACGCTCCTCATCCTCAAAGGGATTTCTGGAGGTGTCAAAATGCAACCTAGAATTCCTGATGTTTTGCCCTTGACTTGGCGCAAGCCAGTCAGGAGAACATAATCGGTCTTTCACAAGAAAAGAGCCTATCTGTTCCCCTAACATGGGGAGTTAATATGTTTGTTTGTCCTGATCTGAGTAGTGGAATCCGCCTTAAATATTTCGCCTGTTGTAAAGAGGTGCTACTTCAGGTGAGTGCATGAAGAAAATGTAAAATATCGAAGACCAGTAACTAGTTGGTGTTAAACAAAGTTGTGATTTATCATCCTCCCAGTAAGCCAATGAAGGTAGTGCTTTGGCTGCCTGTTTGTGTAGCAAAATGCTGCTGAGAAGTATGAATAGCAGCAGGGAGGCAGCGGCATGGAGAACAAGTTTCCTGCATTTCCCCCTCATTTGTTTTTCTCCTTGACTGGATTAGGGAGAAAAGGATAAATGAATTCTGTTGCTATGGTGACCGTGTTCTGAGTATTGAGACAACTTGTCTAAATGTGTTTTCAAGATGCTGTAATCTATCTTGTAGGATTAAAAAGCACAGTTTGGAGTGCTTTTCTTGTTGCGCTCTATTTAAACAGTTTTCTCTGATTGAGTCTGTCTCCTCTCCCTCCCTCTTCCCATCATTCTTCAGATAAGTCTCTATCATGGAACAAAACTGACATATTCCCAAAAAGGCGAAAAAGAAAATTACATACTTTTCTCTGCTTCACTAGTTCAAGCTTCATTATGAATATACCTGCCACCTGTAATAATATTTCAGGTTCTTTAATATTTGATGATGTTTACAGAAACTCGTCTCTGAGAAGAGGACTGGAGGCTCGTGGCCTGATCTTCTGCTGCCACCCTGCTGAGCTCATTGCAGTGCATGGCACGCGCTGCAGCAAACAGCCGTGTTGGGGCTCAGAGGGCTCTGATGGTTGGGCTGCTCTCAGGTCCTGTCCCTGGGTGCGCTATTGCTGGAATTTCAACGGTCATTAGAAATATTTATTTTTTCCCTGAGCATTATAGGTAAGAAGTTTGAGAATTACAGGTTGGTCACAGCACTGCGATTAATCCTCACATCCTATTTGAATGTAGAAAATAAAAAGGTGGGGTGGGGATAGAACGTTAGGTAATGGCACTCTCCAGTTACAGCTCCTTACTAACAGTCAATAGCCACGTAAATAACAGTGATCTCAGGGTTGGTTCTAATGAGTTTACTTAAAGCAGCCATTCAGTTCTGTACAGGTCAACCACAACGCCGCGCGTGCAGGCTGGACCCGCCGCCAGCAGGAAAAGCAACTCGCCCGCTCTCTGCGTCCGCCTGCAGCTCTCGCGACCGCGGTGTCTGCGGGCCGTCGCCATGGCAACAGCAGCCGCGGCCCGGGTAACGCCGGCGGCCCCCCCGCCCTGCGGGGAGCACACGCACCAACGGCCGCCCAGCGCGCGGCGCTGCAGGAGGCGCCTGGGGCTGCTGTGGCGAGCGGGGCTGCGCGGTTCGTTACGAGATGTGTGCAGTTTGGCGGGGATTGTTTTAGTCAGTAAGCACTTTTGGATGCTTTGATTGCCCTGCTGCTTTGTGTTTGTACTTGCATAAAAGCTGCGTATTTGAGCGGCGAACTGGAGCGCAGAAAGATCTCTCAGCGTTGAATTGTTTGAAATCTGTTTAAGCTACACCTGAAGTGGGCTCGAGTTGTTTTACTAACAGACTGTGAGCTTGGAAGGTGGTGGGTTTTGTTTTGTTTGTGTCGCCAGCTGGTTGGTTTTTGTTTGTTTGCTGTTTTTTTCCCTTCAGGTTTTAGGTCCCAATGGATATGACAAGGGGGAGCTTGGATAAAATTTCACAGCCTGCAAGTAGCTCAAGAGCTTACCCCAGCTGCAGGCATTTAAGTGTCTCTGTGGAGTTACTGGCACCAGAACCTTTTTTGCCAAAGGTAATTCTTGTTACTTTTAGCTGCTTCCTTTTTTCTTGTTAGAACACTGAAGAAATGAAGTTCTGCTCTCCTAGCTTTGCAGAGAGTTCTGGGGTTTGTGGCTGTGCAAAGGGCTGTGAGTGCTGGCTGCTCCTTCTGCCTGCAGAATAATGTTTCATTTGGTTTTTCTAAGTCATTAAGACTTAAAAATTAGTCATTAAGGCTGCAGAAAGGTCTGTTCAGCATTGCAGTCTGGGGGATTGGATTGTATTCTACTGTATGTCCTCAAGTTGCATCAGTGGAGATTTGGGTTGAATATTAGGAAAACTTATTCTCTGAAGGAGTGGTCCGCCACTGGAAAGGGCTGCCAGGGAAGTGGTGGAGTCACTGGTCCTGGAGGTGTTCAAGAAACATCCAGATGTTGTACTGAGGGACATGGCTTGGTGGGAAATATTAGTGACAGGTGGATGGTTGGACTGAGTGAACTTAGAGGTTCTTTCCAAACTTGGTGATTCTATGATTTTATATATTTAATCGGATTACAAAATATATTCCATTTAAAGTTCTTTTGTTTGTTTTGTTTTTTAATAAAAATCATAATATTCCAAGAATTGTAGATCAGCTCCAGGAATGTAATAAATTCCATAAGAAGTAAGATGTTTGTCCATTCTCTGAGAAAACTGGCAACTGGGATTAACTTAATTTTGGGAATAGTTTTATGTGATACAGTTTTTAAGATGTAGGGACTGAGACTTGAGAATTTGAGATTTAAGTTGATTTACTTAAGTTTGTATCCCACAGTGTAGTACTTGCATTCATCCAGCTGCTCTAGGCATCATGCCTAGATGCTTCATAAATGCATTAAAATAATTTTTTGTAGGTTCGCAGTCAGATTTTGAGGATACCATCAGATAACTTTGAGTCCAAGTTCTTAACCTAAGCATCCTAACCAATTGCATGAAAATTGCCATCTCTTGAGACTGATGAATTAGATACAAGCATATCAGCCTTTTAAAGAGGAGAAAAAACTCAATAGTATGAGCAAGAGGTGGAGATGCTGCCTGGTGCAGAGTGCCCACAAGTGGGAAATGAGTGAGGCTGTTGTATATACAGACTGGTTGGCTGTATATACTGGTTGTACTGTGCCGTAGCAGAACTAGTATGCATCTTCAGAGTTCCTTCCTAGTCCAAGAGTCTATAAAATATTGAGCCTAAGAAAACAAATTCACTAGTGTGATATCTAAGAAGCAGAACTCTCATCTGAATTTTTTGTTTAAGTGCTACTTTGAGTCTTGTGTGGAAGCATTATTAGCCTTTGTAATGATATGTGATTAGTGTGATTATCTCCCTC